TTCCCACTCTGCCCTACCCTCCCCTCAGCTGGGGATTGAATTGGCTCCCAGCTAGGCTGCTTTCCCACCTGGCCTCTGGTGAAGGAGTTGGGAGGAGCTGGGCCTTGGTGGAATGTAGGTGCTTTCCCAGGATGCCAGCCCTTCTACCTCGGCCTGCAGCCCCTACCTTGAAGATCCTCAAAGACGTCAGGTGCCTGGGAACCCTGGGATAGGATGAGGAGAGAGGCCTGGGTCTCAGTCTCAGTCCCCATGGTATACTGGATGACTGGTCCCTTCTCTTTAGGCCTCAGTTTCCCCATCTGTGGATCTCTGGGTAAGGAATTTGTACTCAGTCTCTATAGGCTTGCTAGTTCTGCTGTGTATTTTATTCATGGGTCCAACAAGTATTTACTGAGGCCCTCGCTGGGTAGCACCACGCAGAACACCTGGAGTCACACAGAGAAGGCAGGTGGACTGCTGCCCTCAAGGAGCTCCCAAGCTGGTGACTCCCCTGTTTGTAACCGGGAGCTCTAAGCTTGTGCCTCAGAGAGAGGTACAACTGCACCAAGTGTTTGCAGTTGGGGGCCCCCCTCCAGCTCAGGTCAGCCCCTGTCTGCCTCTCCTGCACACTCCCATTAAACTCCATGCTCACCCAGGATGAATATGGGGTGCTGTTGCATACTGCTGGGCCTTTACATGTGCTGTTCCCATATCTGGACATGCTACCTTCTATCCCCTAGCTCCCCCCACCTCTGGTTTGAAAAACTGGGCACATTGAACTATGCAGTAATAGGGGACCAAGCGTAGGGATCAATTGAGCAAAGGTAGGACTTTGCAGGTAGCATGTGGAGGGGTGGGGAGAGCAAGGGTGGAATAGCCAGGCAAGGAGTGCAGCAGCCAGGGGGACAGCTGGATTTGGGGTCTCCCTGAGCTGGCTTTATCTTCCACTTGCTCCCAGTCTGTGAACGAGGTGCTGGAGTCCATGGAGTCACCACTGGAATTGGTGGAAGGCTTTGTGGGCTCTATCGAGGTGGCCGTGCCCTGGGCTGCGCTGCTCACCGACCACTGCACTGTGCACGTGTCAGGCCTCCAGCTCACTTTGCAACCCCGCCAAGGCCCAGGTGAGGAGAGGGCAAAGCTGGTCAGGGGCAGCGTGGAGCAGGAAGTGGGAGTGGGCCTGGCACCAGGGGCTGGCTGGGTCTGCCTGTCCTGAGACCCTCTTCCTACTTGCAGGAGCAGGGGCTGCTGACTCACAGAGCTGGGCCTCGTGTATGACCACGAGCATGCAGCTGGCTCAGGAGTGCCTGCGGGACGGGCTGCCTGAGCCCTCTGAGCCACCACAGCCCCTAGAAGGACTGGAGATGTTCGCCCAGACCATTGAGACTGGTGAGCAGGCCCCTCCTGGCCACCCTGCCCCTCCATGGCCCATAGGGCAAGGGCCTCAGACAGCAGCATGGCCACCCTGCTGCCCGACAGGGAAACTCTGTCTGCCCCTTGCTGCTCCGCCTGACCTGAGACCCTTCCCCACCCCTCAGTACTGCGAAGGATCAAGGTGACCTTCTTGGATACTGTCGTGAGGGTTGAGCACTCGCCGGGTGATGGGAAGCATGGTGTGGCAGTGGAAGTCCATGTGCAGAGGTAGGGGCAGGCTGAGCAGTGTGGGCTGGCATGAGGAAGAGGGGGAACGAGGGGCTGCTGAATGGCCCTGGCCCTGGCCCTGGCCCTGGCCCTGCCCCCGGCCCTGCCCCCGTCCCCAGCCTGGGCTCCTGGGACATGTCAGGGCAAGTCTGGGTGGGCCTGGGCTGTGGCTGTGGCAGGTGGAAGCAAGCTGCGTGTGAGCCTGGTGAGGTGTCCAGGGGCCAGGCGGTGCAGGCCCAGGGTGACTGGGGCCCCAAGGATCAGGTTACACCCTGATGGTCTGAGGAGCAAGGAATGGCCATGGAGGTCCAGGATGGCCTGACTATAATGCGGCAGCTCTACAGGCCAACCTTCACTGACCCCAGACCCCCTAAAACAGAACAAGGTGTGGGGAGAGGGGCACCAGCCTGGGGTGGCTTGGGCAAGGGCTGAGCCTACACTCCTCAGACTGGAGTACTGCGATGAGGCCGTGCGAGACCCAAGCCAGGCACCCCCAGTGGATGTGCATCAGCCTCCTGCCTTCCTACATAAGCTGCTGCAGCTGGTGGGCATCCGCCTGCACTTCGAGGAGCTCCCCCAACAGGTGGGCCCAGTCTCGTCCTCACAGTGTCTTTAATTCCTGTTCTCTCTGGACATTTACCCATCTGACTGTCTCCAGCCCTTCTGACCATCTCTGACCATATCTTCTTGACCTCTCCTTTCATATCCTCTTACCTCCCAGGAAGGACCCCCAGATCCTCCCTTGCAGATTGGCAGCTGCTCAGGGTGTCTGGAGCTGACAGTGAAACTGAAGCAAAATGAGGCCTTCCCAGGCCCCAAGGTGGGTCCCCAGGCCCCTGGGGAGGAGGAATATGCCCCATCTCAGAATCTTCCTCAGCATTGCTGATCTTCCCTGGGACAAAGCAGAGAAGAGTGTTGAGTAGGGGAATTACTGCCTTCTAGGCAACTGGAGAAACTGAGGCTGAGAGTGGTCCAGTTGTGGCCAGGGTCACACAGCTAGTTGGTGGTATAGCTTAGCCTGGTATCTGGCATCCTGCCTCCTCAGGGTGAGGGCAGGTGGGTGGCAGTTCTCAGAGGGCCTTGGTGGCAGGTGTTGGCTCCATGGTTACTCCCTCCACCCCTAGCTGGAGGTGTCTGGACAACTGGGCTCCCTGCACCTGCTTCTAACCCCACGGCAGCTCCAGCAGCTTCAGGACCTGCTTGATGCAGTGAGCCTTGCAGGTGAGACTCTGGGTGGTCTAGGAGATAGGATGGTGGGAAGAGGCTGGCCAGACTGGACTGACATAAGAAAGTGTCCTCCCCGTAGACCCCGAGGGCCTGGTAGACAAACTGAACAAGAGCCGCCCGCTAGGTGCTGAAGATCTGTGGCTGATTGAACAGGATCTGAACCAGCAGCTGCAGGCGGGGACTGTAGCTGAGCCCTTCAGCCCAGACCCCGTTTCAAACCCTCTTGTCAACCTGGAGAGCACTGGTGGGTGTGAAGCCAGAACCAGCAATTGGAAGGGTGTCTGTATGGGTGCAGGAGTCAGGGGGCTGAGCACACCTGTCTCTGACCCTCTTCCCCTGGTTCACAGACCTCTTCTTCTCCATGGCCGGCCTCACAAGCAGTGTGGCCTCAGCCCTGTCTGAGGTCTCCCTCTCCGACGTAGACCTGGGTTCCTCGGTGCACAGCAACATGGCCTCCCGCCGGCTTTCTGCCCAGCACCCCCCAACCGGTGAGTCCTCAGGGGCAGGAAGAGCTGGAGGAAGCCTTGGTGCTGGTGTGATGTTTGTTACTCGCATGCTATGTCTGGAGGTCCACCACTGTGACTTGGTTCCATGGGAACACTCAATGGGAGGTAAAGATGCAATGGACAGAGCCTAGGTTTCAGAGTCAGTGACCTTGGGCCAAGCTCTTAAACTGCTGGAGACTCAGTTTCCCCTTCCACAAAAAAAGAATAGTAAGATTTGATCCTGCCAGGCTGCATGTTTTGCTTGATGTTTATTGAGAGATTGTGTGTGGCAGGTACTGGGTAAGTGCTTTATCACCTTTCTTGCAGCTCCCTTGAGAGGACTGAATCAAGCCTGGGCCCAGTGTCTGGCTCAGTGAGGCTTCGTGTCACCCTTGCCTGGCCAAGCCCCCAGCCAGAGTCACAGTCCAGCTAGGCCAGGGCTTCTCCCAGCCCTTAGACCAGTGTCTGACTGTCACCTTACCTGGGATGCTTATGAGCTCTGGGGAGCCCCTGATGAAGTCTTTGTTCTTTCAGGCAAGACAGCCCCCACACCCTCCTCGAACACCCTGCGCCCTGACTCGCTGCTGAAGATGACTTTGGGGGGCGTGACCCTGACCTTGCTTCAGACGTCTGCCCCGTCTTCCGGACCACCTGACCTCACCACCCACTTTTTTTCGGAGTTTGATGCCTCCAAAGATGGGTCCTTCGGCTCTCATGACTTCTACCATCTCCGACCGCGCTTCCAGAGGGCCTGTCCCTGTAGTCATGTCCGGTACAAGCCCAAGGCAGGGACCTGGGCTTAAGGGGACTCTCCAAACCCGCCCAAGCTCACCTTCTGATGCCCTGTGTCTTCCCCATAGGCTAACAGGTGCAGCTGTGCAGCTGTCCTGGGAGCTGCGGACAAGCAGGGGCCGGCGGATCACCAGCACGGAAGTGCACTTTGGGCAGCTGGAGGTGCTAGAGTGTCTGTGGCCCAGGGGCACCTCGGAGCCTGAGTACACAGAGGTGAGGGCTGAGAGAAAGCCAGGATATGGGCAGCAGGGCCTAGTGGTGAGGGTGGGTGTGGGGGCTCAGCCTCACCCTGTTGCTTCCCATGTCCCATCCCAGATCCTGAGCTTCCCCAACAGCCTGGCCTCCCAGGCCTCAGCTAAGCCTTGCGCCCACCTGCGCCACATGCAGACTCTGCGCCGGATACACAAGGTAACCTACCTCACTTCAGGCCCAGCGGCCCTTGACTGTTTCCCATGGTGTACTGCCCGTACTGGCCTCCCCTGGTGCCTCCCTGCTCCCACTCTCCACCCCCATTACCTGTGTTCAAACCAGAGCACATCTTTCCATCCGGGATCCCTTGAATACATCTAGGGCTAGGCTGCTCCAGGGCTGGGAGTGGCAAGTATTGGGTAGCTTTCGCTAAACAAGCCTGATCTGCCTCGAGCAGGACAGTAAAGGGCTTCCCATCTTCTTCTGGGTCCCTTAACCAAGCTCTTCTCCCCATCGCTTGGGAGGGCTCTGTGTTCTGTTTTTCCTCAAGGGGGACCCTGCCCATCCTGCCCTCACCATGTCATAGCCTTCATTGACTTGTGTACCCTCTCCCTCAGAGCCGACCCCGGCGCCCAGCTGCCTGCCACTACCACTCAGAACTGGCCCTGGACCTGGCTGACTTCCAGGCAGATGTGGAGCTGGGGGCCCTGGACCGGCTCTCTGCCCTGCTGCACCTGGCCACCATACCCCCTCCTGAGTTGCTTGCTGGCCTGCTGGTAAGATGCCCAACTAGGATGGAGAGCAGGGCGTGGACTAGCTGGCTCTTGACCACAGTTGCAGGGGCTGGAGGAGGGGATTGGCCCAGGCAGCATCTCTGACCCCCCGACCCTCCACAGACAGAGACCCCACCAGCTGCTGAGCAGCAGACAGTGGTGCAGCTATCAGCACCCAGGGCCACGCTGCAGCTGCGCTTCCCCATTGCCGACCTGCGGCCTGAGCGGGACCCCTGGGCGGGCCAGGCTGTGCGGGCTGAGCAGCTGCGGTTAGAGCTGATTGAGCCCCAGTTCCGGTCAGAGTTAAGCAGTGGGCCTGGTCCCCCAGCCCCAACCCGCCTGGAACTTTCCTACTCCGACCTACATGGTAAGAGCCCCCCTGGGTATAACTCGTTAGGCAGGGGGCTCAGGCCTCTAGGAGAGTTGGGCTTGGGGCAATGGAATGGGCTGGGTCACAGTGGGGACAGACCCTGGTCCAGGCCTCATCAGCTTTGTGAGGCACCAGCATTGCCTATCCCCAGGCTTCCTGGGCAAGAGGCAGAGTGGACCCTTTATCCTTGAACGACTATAGACTGTGGGCATAGGTCTGTAAACAGTAAAAGATGGTTGTCACGGTGAGGGGTGCTCCAATCCCCCACTGGCCCACCTGGCATTGAGGAAGAAATAGGGAAAGGCAGCAGTGACAACCCCTCACTCCTCCCCATCCCCTCCAGTCACCTACGAAGATGGAGAGAAGCCACCTGTCCCCTGCCTGCGGGTCTCTAAAGCCCTGGATCCCAAGAGCCCTGGGCACAAGTACTTCCTGCCCCAGTAAGTTGGGGCTTTGGAGGAGCAGACAGAGAGGAGGAGGGCTTTGCTACTGAGGGCGGTGGGAGGCCACTTGGGACCAGGGGCTCGGGGCCCTGCAGGCCAATGACAGGCCTGTGCCCTGGCAGGGTAGTGGTGACCCTGAACCCCCAGCTCAGCAGCACACAGTGGGAAGTGGCCCCGGAGAAGGGAGAGGAGCTGGAGCTGTCGGCTGAGAATCTGTGTGAGCTTCAGGAACCTGAGCCTTCACCCTTCTCCTCAAAAAGGACCATGTACGAGACGGAAGAGGTGAGGCCCAGGACCTACGAGTCTCATGGGAGCCACTTGGTGGCTGTGGGCCATGGGGAAAACACCATCTGGGGCACCAGGTGATGTGACCCAGCGTCAGTGAGAATTTCATCTCTTCCATCATCTCTGGTCAACAGGGAGGCAGAAACACCACAGCTGGCGGGGCCTAGGAGTGAGGGCAGGGACCCAGGGGGCATGGGTCCTTGATCAGGAAGATCACAACCCCGTCCCTTCAGCCATTTATCAGCAGTGTATGTTTGGGCCTCAGGACCCTCTTCTCTGAAGGTGATGAGGGTTGAGTAGGAGGCGGTTAAGGGCCTGGCCTCTGAACCAAATGGCCTGGGTTCAAATTCAGGCTCTGTCACTCAATTGGGTGTATCATCTGGGGGAGTTGTCTCATCTCTTGAAAAGTCACCTACAGATAAATTTCCCCACTTGGAAAGTGGGTATAATGACCTGTCTCACAGACCTGTTATGAGAATAAAGAAGTTAACATACACAAGGCACTCAGGGCAGGGTTCGCACGCAGTCAGCGCTTCGCACAAAATGGCTGTCCTATGTCCCAGCAGAAAAGGCTCATGTGAATGAATGAGAAATAGGTCAGGAAACTAACCTGGGTCTGATTGAAAAGCCAGCAGCAGGCTCTGACATTTCTCACCCCCTTTCCTGCTCCCCCATCCAGATGGTGATTCCTGGAGACCCTGAGGAAATGAGGGCCTTTCAGAACCGGGCCCTGGCGCTGTCTCGCTGCAGCCTGGAAGTGGTCCTGCCCAGCGCCCATGTCTTCCTGCCCAGCAAGGAGGTCTATGAGAGCCTCTACAACAGGTGGCGACATGGGTAGGGCGGGGGTGGCCAGGGGCTGGGCTGGGCCTCCCTCACCACCGTGGTCCTACTGCCCTCTCAGGATCAACAACGACCTGCTCCTGTGGGAGCCCGCGGACCTGCTTCCCAGCCCCGCCCCCGCCGCGCGCCCCGCTGGCTTCCCGGACGCCTCGGGCTTGTGGCACGACAACTTCAAGATGTGCAAGTCTGCCTTCAAGCTGGGTAGGAGGGGTGCCCTGGTGGGGCCCTGGGGCCAGGGCAGCCCTCCCAGGTCTCCTTCCCACTTGGCTTCTTGATCTCACCCCAGACTCGGACTCGGACGATGAGGACACCCACTTCTCAGTGGGGGCGTCAGGTGCCCCCCGGCCCCCTGCCCCTGAATCCCCTCACTCCCAGAGTACCTTCTCTACACTGGTGACGGTGCTGAAGGGTCGGATCACGGCCCACTGTGAAACCAAGGTGAGGGCAGCCCAGGGGAGGTGAGCCCCTAACTCCAGAGCCCCCACTGGCAAGAGAACAAGGCCAGTGTCAGCAGTTCCAAGCTGGGAATGTGGGAAACGGACTCCACTGGGAACTGAGTGTGGCCTCTCCAGCCAGCAGCACCTACCCACCACCCACTTACCCACCCGTGCCACCACACCCATCTCATCACTGCCCCTTATTAGCACCTGCTGTATGTAAGACACCATGCTAGGTGTCCTAATTGGCACCATCTGATGTTCGGAGGCAGACAGGGCAAGGATGACCCTTCCCCTCTGGCAAAAGAGAAAGTACTGCCCTGGACCTCCAGCAGTCTGGGTAGAGGCTGGAGCTGATCCTAGTCAGGCCAGGACTCTCCGAGGCCCCTCACCCCCAAGGGTCAGGGCTGCTAAGTGTAGCTGGTGAGGCCAAACCACATGCTCTGTCTGCAGGACGAGTGTGGGAAACGGCTGGAGGCTGCACACGGGGAACTGGTGCTAGACATGGAACAAGGCACCATCTTCAGCGTCTCCCATTACCGAGGCCAGCCGGGCCTTGGCTACTTCTGCCTGGAAGCTGAAAAGGCAACACTCTACCACCGAGGTGTGAGGGCTGGGGGCCAGTTGCCATGGGGTCTCTAGGGTCCATGGACAGGGGTTGAGTCTTTCAGGAGGAATACGTGCCTTTCCTGGGTGGAGTGGGGGATCAGCCAGCTTGGCAGGGGACTCACCAGATGTCTCCCTAGCGGCCGTGGATGACTATTTGCTGCCCAGTCGCCTGGAGCTGCCCACCTTTGCTCCTCCGGCCCAGCTGGCCCTAACCATCTACCCATCAGAGGAAGGGATGACTGAGCAAGGAGCCTCGGGCCGCAAGGGCCAAGGCCGGGGCTCCCACATGCTGTCCACCGCTGTGCGCATCCAACTGGACCCCCACAAGAATGTCAAGGTATAGCCATACCTGCTTCTGGACGGCCCACTTGTTTGGGCAGGACCACTGCCTCCCTGGTGCCTGGCAGGCTGGGCTGCTACCATGGGCTGACTGTGCCCTGCCCCCAGGAGTTCCTGGTGACACTGCGGCTGCACAGAGCTACGCTGCGCCACTACATGGCCCTGCCAGAACAGAGCTGGCACTCCCAGGTGAGCGAGGGTGGTGTGGGCAGGCAAGTCTCAAGGCTGGGATAAGGCTGGTGTGAGGGCCATGGGCTGGACCAGAGCTGACCTTAGGCTGGAGCTGACTTCTGGGCGGAGCCCCTGGGCAAGGGGTGTGATGGACAGCTGATGGGCAGCAAGTGGGGACCTGTGCTGGGGTGGGGAGTTAGAGGGAGAAAGAGGTCCCTTTATCCTCACTGCCCCTCTCGCCCTGGCCCCCAAAGCTGTTGGAGTTCTTAGATGTCCTGGATGATCCAGTGCTGGGCTACCTGCCTCCAACAGTCATTACCATCCTACACATACACCTGTTCTCCTGTGCTGTGGACTACAGGTACCCAGGCACAGGTGGCTGGGGCCAGGGGCTGGGGGCAGGCTCTCTCATGTAAGGCGTCTGCCCCAGCCCAAGTGTGACCTCCCACCCACCCCAGGCCCCTCTACCTCCCTGTACGTGTCCTTGTCACTGCTGAGACCTTCACCCTCTCCAGCAACATCGTCATGGACACCTCTACCTTCCTGCTCAGGTATGGAGCTCTCCCCACCCCAGCTCCCTGTCCATCCTACCCCAAGCTGAGTCAGCTGCCATTCCTCTAGGGTCCTACCTCCCTGCTGTACATCCTCAGGCCACTGTGAGCCTTTCTGTACAATCATGTGATCTCTTCCTGAGGCACAAGATTGGGTTTCACCTTCCTAGAGGGCAGTCAGACCTCCGAATCAGAGCCTTAAAAGCATTTAAGCTCTCTGACCTGATACTCTCACTTCCGGTGGCTGTCCTAAGGATATAAGGATAAGAAAAGGTGAAGTATAATGCCCCTGTAGTATAATTTTAAATAGTCAAAACTTATAAACAATTTAAATGCCCCCACATCACATTATAACCTCAGTTAGTAAACATGGCCAACACAACCATTAAAGTCAAATTAAAGAATAACATTGAAAAATATAGGGAAATGCCATGTTACAATATTTACTGGAAAGAAGTAAGATATAAAACTATTTTTTTAAGAAAGATTATTTGCATATAATTGGGATTGGTACCAGGACCCTTTGCAGATACCAAAATCCAGGGGTGCTCAAATCACTCATAAGTGACATGTAAAAGAGTGTGATATATGTATATAACCCATGCATATCCTCCCATATTCTTTAAATCATCTCTGGTTTATTTATAATACCTAATACAATGTAAGTGCTGTGTAAGTGGTTGTCAGCACATGGAAAATTCAAGTTTTGCTTTTTGGAATTGTCTAATTTTTTTTCTTTTAATATTTTTGATCCCCAGTTGGTTGACTCCTCAGAAGTGTAGCTAGCAGATATGGAGGGATGACTGTATATGGTCCTTTGCTCAGAGTTTGGGATTAGCTGTATTTTAAAATATCCTAAAGGAGCTGTGTTATGTTGCCCTTAAAATAAGGACTTTCAAAGAACAATGCATA